CCCCCCCTTCCCCCCTCCCCTGCTCCGTGTCTCCTCGTTGCGCTGCGCTTTGACGTCCTGTGCTGTGTTGTCCGTCCCCGTCACCACGTCGGGGTCCCCATGGGGGGCAGGAAGGGGGGCTGGTGGCTGTGGGGCTTCCCTGGGGGGGGGGAAGCGTGGGGGGGAGGGGGGGAGGAATCCCAGAAAAGGCCGAGGGACCTCAGTGTGAGGATGGGGATTAAAAAGGGATGGGCAACCCCGAATAGCGGGGCGGCTCCAAAATCGTTGGGTGTCCCCAAATCGTTGGGTGTTCGCAAAGTTGTTGGGTGCCCCAAATCATTGGGTGACCCCAAAGTCATTCGTTGGGTGTCCCGAAGTCATTGGGTGTCCCCAAATAACAGAGCAGCCCCAAAGTCATCGGGTGCCCCGAATCATTGGGTGACCCCAAAGTCGTTCATTGGGTGTCACAAACTCATTGGGTGTCCCAAAGTCATTGGGTGCCCCAAATCATTGGGTGACCCCAAAGTCATTCGTTGGGTTTCCCAAAGTCATTGGGTGTCCCAAAGTCATCAGGTGTCCCCAAATCATTGGGTGACCCCAAAGTCGTTCATTGGCTGTCCCAAAGTCATTGGGTGTCCCCAAAGTCATTGGTGTCCCCAAATCATTGAGTGTTCCCAAAGTTGTTGGGTGTCCCAAAGTCGTTGGGTGTCCCCAAATTATTGAGTGTTCCCAAAGTCATTGGGTGTCCCCAAAGTCATTGTGTGTCCCCAAATCAATGAATGTCCCCAAAGTCATCGAGTGACCCCAAAGTCATTGGTTGTCCCCAAATCATTGGGTTTCCCCAAATAATTGGGTGTCCCAAATCAACGAATGTCCCCAAATCATTGAGTGACCCCAGAGTCATTGGGTGTCCCCAAATCCATGAATGTCCCTAAACTCATTGGGTGTCCCCAAATCATTGAGTGTCCCCAAAGCCATTGACTGTCCCAAAGTCATTGGGTGCCCCAAACCATTGGGTGACCCCAAAATCATTGGGTGCCCCCAAACCATTGGGTGACCCCAAAGTCACCGAGTGCCCCCCAAATTCTTCAGCTTCTCCCAACCCGCTGAGTGCCTTCCATAATAATTAATCATTCTCCAAGCCATCAATCATCCCCAATTAGAGGTGGGGGGGTGGGGGGGGGGCATCCCCAGGTCATTGAGTGCCCCCCAACCCCCCCCCAGCCAAGGGGAGACCCCACGGGGGAGCAGCCCCCCAACTATCAAAGGGTGGGCGCCCCTCCCAAGGGAAGTGCTGGAGCCCCCCAGGTCCTGGAGCCCCCCCCAGGAGCCCCCCAATTCCTGGGCCCCCCCCCCCCCCCAATTTCTAGGAGCCCCCCACGAGGGGCTGAGCCACCCGGGGGTGGGGGCTCTGTGGGGGTGGGGGTCCGCGCTCTCACCGTTCCTTGTCTCTTCCACTGCCACCAACCGCAGGAGCAGCTCACGGTAAATCCTTCTGCCTTTCTGTCCCCCCCCCCCCCCCCCCCC